GGGAAATGAAAATGGAAGGAGAAAGACCAAAATGAAGGCAGAAGGGCGGGTCGGCAGGGCATAGGCAAGTTTACCGACGAAATCCACGTTGCTACAGTATAAAGCTGATCACCTCTGCATTGCATCAGGATTCTCGTTGACTGGGCCCATCACCGATGAGCATCAAGTTGGAAATGCAACTATTACCGACCTGCATCTCATCGATAATGAAATAAAAGCTACAACGCCACTGGCCAGCAGCCGGATTCGCGGGGAGTTGCTGAATGCCAAATTACCGACAAGGCTTATGTCGGCAAATTTCAGCAAAAAGTTGCACTCCCTGCCGTAGGCGGCCAGCTAGTTGGCCGGGGGTGCATTGGGAGTGGAAATTACCGAGAAGGGGGACGTTGGAAATTGATCCTCAATTACCGACGAGATTATCGTTCCAAATTTGAATTTACAGGCATTCTCCTCGTCGGTGATATGGGTTTCCGTTCTTCTCTCACCGGCCGGAGTAGATGCTGCATTTACCGACGAGTGACATGTATGTATTATCTTAAATTACCGACAAGTGTTACGTCTGTATACTAAATAATATATCTTACTCGCATTTCTACTGTTTCTCAAGTTGTAGACTTGATTCTTGTCAGTAAATTGATACTTCACCGAGAAACCTTCTTACCTCGGTGATATTTGGTCGGTGAAGCTAGGTTTTCTTGCAGTGACCAATTTTCACCCATATTATATTTTAATAATGAAAATATTTTTGAAATTTTCATTTTAAGTAAATTATTTTTTGGAGAAAAGACTTGATTACATAATAACTTAAGTTAAAATATTTTAAAAACTTAAGAGCAAGAAAAGTTAAAATCATAAGCAAAAATTGAATAAGTTAAAAGATTTGGGATCAAAGTATTAATAAAGTAAAATATTAAGGACCCTATTTACTAGTTTACCAATAAAGCAATTAGGAAGGGACCCTTAAACTTGACTCGGGTTAGGTATCGCCACTACAAAGGTAGTGTTGATACCTTGTGTTAGGAATTTGTGGAAATATGAGATAGAAGTAACGCCACTTGATTTTTTTTTTTTTTTTGATATGAGCCACTTGATTTTTATATTTAAGATAGTATATGTCAAATATTAATTTTTTTTGAACAAAATATTACTCCAATTTAATTGTAACTAGATAATGTTAATTTTTTATATTCAAATTATTAAGTTTAACAAAATTTACTAATAAAATAAAATGGGTAAGAGGTTTTTGATAATGCTATTTCTAAAATTATTAAATTTAAGTAAATTATTTTTAATGGGTGGAGGTTTTTTGGTAGAAGAATGTTTATAATTTAAATTTATTTTGACTTTCAAAAATAGATGATGTTAATTTTATGTATTAGAATAATTAAATTTAACAAAATTTATCCACATAATATATATTTATAATTTCAATTTACTCTTTTTTGGTATATTCAATTTATCATTTTGTTACTAGATAATTACAATTTTTAAACAAATTCTAAAGGTAAACTAATATGAAATATCTACTTAGTTTAGCATTTCTATTATGTCTAAACTTATTCAAGTTTGAGAATTTATATAATATTAAATTAAAAGCCCTAATACCAATTACTTAAAATCTCAGAAACCATCAACAGGTCTAAAATAATATAGAAAAGATATGAGAATATTACTATATATCTAGCTTAATCTTATTTAATTTATATGTTGTGCTTAATCGTCAATTGACTTTACACTACTAGAAAATAGGTTCTAATCGACAAAAAATTTTGTTGGTTATATAAGAAATTTTATTGATTATACCTATAATTGATAGAAAAAATTGTCGAATAAACTTGCGTCAAAAATAAGTATAAGCGACAGATATGACTGTCGATTATGTTGGTATCTGATTTTAAAAAATATTAAAAAACAATTTTATATTTATTAATTAAATTATAAATATTAACCAAAATATATGTAAAACAATCATGTGTTGCAATAATATATATGTATATAGATAAATCTATAAAAACTAATTGAAAAATTAGAATATTTTACAAATATTATGAAAATAATGAAAAAAAAAGGAAAATTGAAAGCATAAATTAAAGGTAGTATTGGAAGTTGCCTCATAATATGATTTCAACCTCAATAAGCTGCAAAAGAAAAAAAATGTTATTGGATCAAATAAAAATAATTGAATAATATAGAAACTAAAATAAATGAAAAAAAAAAATCCAAGACTTAGAAAGGTAGAAGGAATTGAAGGGAAAAAGTGAAATAAAGTAAAAACGATGAAAGAAAAAGAAGAGAGGTGGCTAGAAAGGGAAAAGACCAAGAATTAAAATGGTAGAGATTCGGGAGAAGGGAGGATGAAGAAAGTTAAAAAGGAAAAAGACAATGAAAGATTTAGAAAGATTTATACTCTGTTGATTATATTTTGAATTTACTACACTGTGAAATTCAATTTTTTCGGGTTAGGTGAGGCGGGATACAATTTCTGTCGATTACACATGCATAATCGATAGTATTTCTGTTGATTATACTTAATACATAATTGATAGAAATTCTGTCAGTTATGCATATATAATCGATAGAATTTTTGTTGATTATAATTGTTGTCAATTATATCAAAATTTTGTAGATATATATATATTAATAATTAACCATCCACTAGTAGCATATATTTATATATCTCGTAAATGATAAATTTAGTAATAAAAATTTAACACTATAAAATGTGAAGTTATTTTTAACTAATATTATACACGTATATACTTTGATTAAATTATCAATTCTAACACTAAATATTTATAATTAACTTAGTTATTATATATATAAAATATATAAAGTATTAATTAAAAATAATATTATATTTGATAATGTTAAATTTTTATTATTAAATTATTAAATTTATAATTTACAAGACATAATATATTTATAAATATTATTAGTGGAAGGTTAAATATTAACATATATATTTACAAAATTTTGACATAATCAACAGCCATAGTGGCTGTCAATTATATTTATATAATTGACAAAATTAACTGTTGATTATACTAGTATAATCGACACTCTTTTATAATCAACAAAGTTTTTATCGATTATACAAGTATAATTGACAACCAAAAAACTATCGATTATATTTTTATCTATTAAATGCTATTTTCTAGTAGTGTTACTTTTCTTTTTCAAAACCTTTTCTTACAATTTTTCTACAATATGCTTTGATTCATCATCTATTTTAATTCTGAGGCCATTCTTGGGTTAGATTTCAAAGGTAGTGTACGTCTTTTTGAAATTTGTGAGGTCGACAAAACAGAGGTTGGAAGGCTTCAAGTGCACTTTGTCATGTCCACCATCATGTGTTTGTTAAATTGTCTAAGTGAGGTTGAGTTGAATTTTTTTTCTTTATCAATATACTTATTTATTTTGTTTGTTTTTGTTAAGGTATTTCGATATATTTCTCAAGTTGAGACTTTTTTTGGGTAGATGAGAAGAGTTACACTCTTAATTCTAATTTAGGAGATTAGTACTTTGTTATCTGTCATGAGCACTTGAAATTCTTGCAACTAAACAATATGTGATGTACCCTCTTTACTGATAATATTTGAGTAAATCACATTAAAAACAAAAATGATGTGAAATTTTTGGTCAATTTATATATATTTTTTTTTGTATGTTACCTTTTTGTATTAGTTAATTATGTAATTTGACTAAAGGATATATTTAAAATTAATGATTATTAATTGATTGTTTTAATTTAATATTTGTAAAACCAAAATTGTAATACCCCAAAATTTCTAGAGCACTAAAGTGTGAGTTAGGGACCTAATTGTGAAGAAATACTATTAATGAACTTAATAACAAATATTTTCAAAGTTCAGGGACTTAAAAGAAAAGAAATTAGGATAAGGATCAAGGCTGATATTTCTCTCCTCAGCCACGTGTTTTGCTCTTCCTCATCTTCTTCTTCTTCCCGACTCTTCCTCCCGACAAGCCCCCCTAAGCCACCGACTTCCTTTTCCTTTGAAAACCGGAAAAAAGGGCTTGAAATTCTCCTTCTTTCTTGTTCAATAACAAGATTTAGGACTTAGAACACTCCCCTAAACCCAGAAATTCCAAATCTGCGTTGTCTTCTTCCCCTCTGTCCACCGGCCTCTGTTGTGTGGGGTTGAGTTCGGTTTTCTGGTAAGATTCAGCCATGAATCCCTCTCTTTAACTTTGATTTACGTTGGGTTTACTTGATTTCTTTGTTCTTCAATCTTGGGTAGCACCGTGAGTCTTCCCTGCAGATTTGCCGCTGGCCTCTTCCCCCGCCAGGTCCGGTTCTGCAACTGGAAAATTTAGGGTAAGTTGACAGCTCCTCCAAGTCCAAATTATCCATGTAATTGTTGCCTTGTGTTGATTGGAATTTCTGCTTTTGAATTTCCCTTTTTGCTGTCTGAAAATGGAAGAAATTTAGGTGAAATTGTGCTGGAAGGTGGAATGAATTTTGGTAGCTTTAAGTGGGTTTTTGTTTAATTTAAGTGGAGGTTAGCTTGAGTTGATTGTTGTGAGGTTAATTGTGGAAATCCCATGAATTTCCATTGTTTTGCCAAAGTTGATTCCTCCATGTGCTCCCCATGGGTTGTTCGAAATCTGCTGGAATATGGGGGGAATTTGGTAGCCTTTTTGACATGTTTTTAGCTTAATTTATGTAGGATTAGTTGATTTGGGCTGTTGCGATTCTTGGAGAAAAATCCCGTGATTTGCTATTGTTTTGCTAAATAGGATTAAATGAAATAAAGTCCTATTCCCCTATTTTGTTCTGTCCGTGGGAGTAGAATAAATTATATATGAATGTGTATATAAAGATATATATATACGCAATTTGGGTAATGAAAATAAATAAAATAAAAGTAATAAATATTGCATTTTGGGATTGGTCGGGAACAATAGAAAAAGGATTAAGTATGTAGTTTTATATGGGTATTAATTTTTGGATGTTTTGAATTAGGTTCTTGATTGTTCTATCGATTTAGCACTGAGATCGAGCCTTTTGTTTTAAGCGAGTGAGGTAAGTAAATTTATGGTAATGCCCGTACAGTTTTTAAAACATGTTTGACTTGTTTTTGAAATAGTGGCGGGACTAAACCCGTTTTATACAAAATGAGCATGACTGATTTGAAGTAAAATTTTTATGCTTTTCATTAAATTGAGCATGCCTACTTGAAATTTAATTGATTGTCCTGATGATTTGAAAGTGATTGGTGAATTATGATTTTTCTGTTAACTTCTGCTTGTTTTGTCTTTGATGTGGTTATGTTATTGATGATCCTGCTTGTGGGGGTTAAACGCTAGCACATGTCGACATGTTATTGATAGAACCGGTTCGTTTGAATGACCCTGCTAGTTGGGGTTATACATCAGCAAATACTGTAGCCTGCCAGTGGGAGGTTTATAACACTGGCCATGACCTATAGAGGAGACGTCTATTTCGTTCCCGTACTGTATCCGTTTTCGTGATTGCACGTGTTGGCATGCTATAAGTTTAATAAGGGCACTCCATATTTTACTTACTGAGTTTATTTCATAGTTTTCCCTTGTACACCATTTCAAGTAGTATGACCTGAGACACGGAAATCAAGGGGAGTGACGAGCTAATTGGCTAGCTATTGCATTTGGATATAGATTTTGAGTTTAGATTGTCCTTGTAAGCTAGATTCATTATTTTGAGTTTAAGTCATGTTGGACATAGATTTATGAAATATATTATCATTTTTGGAAGATAGATTGTACCTTGAATTTTATGGTATTAAAACAGATTTTGCGAGAATAGAGTTTGTGATTTGGATAAGTTTCGAGACTTGTGCATTCGTGGGACCCTTTCACGAATGCACAGTGTTTGTCGCGCCTCGAATTCGGGTTTTGGGGCATGAAAAAAATACTATTGTATTTTTATTGAAAAGTACTATTGTATTCAAACTTATTTATTATCAAAAATTTATTCTTTTAGATATTAGTTATAAAGTATTTTTTGGTACTAAAATTAGTTGTCATATACATTTTTTTGACAAATTTTTTTTTGTCAAAGATATACATTATAATTACACAAATACCCTCTTAGTTTAATATTAGTTTAAATAATTAGTGATATGGATATTGCATTAGTGATGAGTTTTTTTTTTGCTATAAATGTATGTTGTAATGACAAAACTACCTTTTTTTGGTTTAATATCGATTTAAATAATTAATAACTAAATATTTCATCATAGATAACTATTTACATTTGTGACTTTTTTTTTATTATTCAATTGTAACCTATGTGATGAATAAAATTGTTAGAAATAATTGATTAATAATGTTGATTTTTTCTATTATTATAAAATTTTTTTATATGACAGATGTCATATTTATCACTAAGATAAAAATTTTATTAATTATTTAAATTTTATCACTAATTTTAATTTATAACAAAAAAAATAAAGGCTTAATGATTGATAATTTAATTATTAAATGTGGATATTTCATTTTTTTCAGTGCGCGCTCCCCGTCTCCATAAAATATCAGGTAGACTCCTCTCCTCAAAAATTACTCTCGATTAAAAAATAAATAAATAAATAAAAGTAACATATGTACGGATTAGTCAGGCCCTAAAGAAGCGGATGACCAGAGAAGACTGAGGTGTTGATGGTGCATGTCTATCGTGCAATTAGCTGATGTTTCATTTTGGGTCCCTTCAATTATCGCCTCATTACATTTACACAACCACCCAATTACGAGCCATCTCCCGTTTTGGTTTTTGTCTTTTTTTTGTTACACAACACTTCACGCTTGAGTGGATCATTGCAGAAACTTATTACAGTACTTCGTATCAGGACCGGAGAGTGTATATTAATATACTACATTATAATATTATAATTAGATTAGACACCTCCGGCCCTACCCAACAAATAAATATAAATAAATAAAATCCCCATGTCATCTCAAAACCATTAGTTTCATGACCTCCGTTTGGGAACACGAGGGGATAGCTCGATCTGTACTTGCAAAAATGATGCTCGCTGGAGCATTATCTTTTTTTTTTTTTTTTTTTCTTCTGAACGATAGAGCATTGATGAAAGACAAGCAATGACGGAATAATATAAAGAGTTTGGCACCATCGATATATTTGATTCCTAGAGCAACTGGCAATGGCCAGGTACCTCAGTGGTTGAATACTCCTCGGTACTGAGTTCGAACCGAGGGAGGAAACAACCGCTTTACCCCTGAACCCTTGTAAAACTTAGTAAAGTAAGAGAATTGTAATATTGTATGAAAAATGACAAACCTTGTCCTTTTGATGTAGGCCGGTAACCAACTCATGCTACATGAAAATATTGGCCGGTCCAGTCCCATATATGTATTTATCATACATACAGTAAGGGTGAGTGATGGTAGAGGTTTCATCAGTGGATTAACAGTGGTGGAATAGGGACTTGACATGCATGGATCTTATACAGTAGGTAGAAATTCTGAACCTTGTTCCATTTCAAGTATGAATACATTCAGCTTGGATTGCAACAGTTCAAGTGCCCATCCACGTGAATTCTCTGGACCCTAGGCACCACCTCCTGTCTTATTCCACCCTTGAGTTCAAAATAGTGCTCCAACGTCTTCAACTCTTGTGATATATGATTTCGTAAAAAGTCTTACTACTTAATAAATCATTACATATAATAGTTTTTATATTATTAATATTTTATTTTAATGATATATATATAATTAATAGACAATTTAAAAATTGGCCAAAGGACCTATTTGCATCGTATACATTTTTCTTTCCGCAATTAACACCTTAAATTAATTTCTGTTCTAGTCAACACCATTCACTATTGAAAACCTATGCGAAACTAAAAAACTAATAGTTAAACCCTCTATTTGCAGCTTGAATTTATGGTCAAACTCCTTATTTACATCATGACTTTGTTGGTAATTTGGAGTTTTTTACAAGTTTTAAATTATGAAGGATGTTGATTGAAACAAAAATTAGTTTAGGGTGTTGATTACGAAAAGAAAAAATGTGTAAGGTGCAAATAAGGGGTTCATCCTTAAAAATGCTACTATCACATCATACAGTTCTTATTAATAGTTACGGTTATCATTATCTTTTGATATAGCAAACATTTTAAGGACATTATCGATATTAATGTACTTAGAAAAATAAAATTAATATATGATAAATAAATGTCTCATGTATAAAAATAATTGTTGTAATCACAAGAACAAATTGAGTTGATTCAAGGGCACAATCTAATGTAAAATCCATAGCTGATTTGGATTCAACTCTATAAGGCCTAAAGTCCATTTCAACACTACTTCTGCCACGTGGAAGAACCTAGCTACCCTAGAATTTCTATCTCTATGACTTTTTATATTACTATAACGTCCTGAATTCCACATTGGTATGGAAGTGTCAGTATGGTATATAAATGTGGAGACCAACTATTACTAACAACTTGAGCTTAAGTTTTTAAAGTCTTATGGACCTTGGCCCAAAAAATTGTTAGGCCAATGGTTGGCTTTAGTCTAGTTTTTTTTGTTGGTATCAGAGCAATCACCTCTTGTAAGTGTAGGCCCATCTTGACTATCATGGTTGGTGGTAGTGTGGATCTGACATCACTTGAAGTGGATCTTGTGTTTGTAGGCTAGTGGGCCTCATATTGACTGTGATTGGACTTGATAAGGATATCGAGAATTTAAGTTAAGGAGATTATGACCCCTAGAATCTCGTATCGAGATGGATCTATAAGTATGATTAGTATATAAATGTCGAGACCAACTACACTATTTGAGCTTAAGTATTTGAGAGTCCATGGACCTCGAATTGAAGAGTTGTTAGGCCAGTAACAAGTTTTAGATGGAATCATTTCAGTAGGTTCAACCACACTTGATTATTGCATTTCATAATCTTTATATCTCCTAATTAAGGGTGGCCAAATAGTTAATCAAAAACCAATTAAAAAATAACCAAATGGTAAGAAATAATTTGTTTATCGATAGACAATGATACATACACTTTGCAAAATTACACACTTCGTTACACATTGACTGTCTTCATTACATATTGACAGTTCACCAAAAACGAGCTACTGCTCTGAACACAAAATCAGAACCTACAAAGCTCTAAATGAAAAACTAACTGTGTAAAATATAGATCAATATCTCTTGAATACCTAAACAAAATTTCAGCTTAATCCAATGGTGAACTTTTGCAGATTGGACAAAATGGCAAAGCTGCACATAGTACCAAAACTATAGAAATTTCCCTTGTTTATTTTCCCTTTTCTATGAATTGGCCCCACTCACATTTACTCCACTTTCTACTATATCATCCCAAAAATAAACTTGTTTTATATGTCTAATGGCCTATAAAATCATGGGCTAAAACAATGATGAATTTGTGAGAAAATGAACTCTTCCTCAAGATACCAAAGACTCAAGATTTTGATTTGGTGCTTGAATATATTGTCCGACTAGAAGGACAAGAGGGAGAAAGGAAAGGAGAGAGAGAAAGAAAGAGCTGGGTGCGTTTGGGGAGTTACGAGGGAAGTGTCTAATGGATTAAATAATGGAGACCATTAGTGTGTAATGAAGTGTGTAACTTTGTAAGGCGTATGTATCATTTTTTTCGATTTTGGTTGTGTTGAAAAATATTTATTTGGTTATTGGTTAAGGGGTTTGAAAATTGAAAATCAAATACATAACCAAAAAAATTTTATATTAATAAATCATAAGTATTGTTTGAATATTCTAAATAAATATAAAAATCATCCTATGCAATATCATTTTCAAGTTTCACTTAGTTATAATCTAGGATTTGAATTTAGAATATATTTAGAAGTTAAAAAATGAAATTCAAAATTCATGTTTTATATCCATTTATTCACATTTCTTTATCTTATTTTTATATTTGATAATTATTGGTTAAAATCAAAACTAAATTTATAATAAAAAATATTTACATAGCCGAACCAAAAAATTATATATATTTTGATAAGAAGTATAATTGTATTCATAATTGAAAAATAATTACAATACAAACTATACCTTATCATATAAGCCGAATAGTTAAAAGAAAAGCTAGGAAAGACCTCTGACACTAACATATAGAGCTAAATGTTCTATACAAATAAAGACAATTAAAAACTGAGAACTTCTAAATATTAGTATTTGTCATAGAGATATCAATACATTTATAAAAAAAAAATAGAGATATCAATTCAACTATGTAATCACAAAGAAAGAGTGCGCTAGAGGTTACTAACGCTACTAGCAATCACATCTATAGTGCCACCCAATCTAGCATAGGAGAATGGACTTGGTGATGTAGTGTCTCCAAGCACTACAATGCTCTATCCATCCATAATGGAAAATTAACCAGTTGGCGAAGGGAAAGGATCCATTTGTGTGCCCTTAACACTAGCCACCTTCGTAGAAATCATAACCATCCCTGTATTATTTAAAATCACCTTGTTAGCTCATCGATCTTCCAAAATTGTTTCACTACATTTCCTTTTGCTCTGGTTAGGTTTATCGACAAGTATTAAGGGCCCCACCTTGTGTCCTACCCTTTTTCATTTGCCTTTATTTCCTTTTGTAACTTCCCTTTAATGTCTTGGTTGTTTGTCCCCATCTAACCCAAAGACTAAAGGCACCTCCACTAATTGATCATCCATCAAAACTAGGAAAAGATCAGTCCTATCCATATTGCTTGCAATATACCTTTCTCCCACAATAACAGCAAGAGGCTGAGTTGGTTCAACTGCAGTTTCACTTATTATTCCATCAACAGTATCATTATACCCCTCTATTTGCTTAGCTATTATTCCAGCCAGCACCGAATGCTCCCTGGTCCTTTCATTCCTATTTTCCTCTAAAAATTAAGTATTTTCAAAGAAAGTTGCATCTAAAAAACCAAAATCATCCAAGCACCAAGAGTTTTTCAATTCTACTTTCAACCAAGGTTTATATCACCAAATAATTTTCCCTCTGGCGTCTTTAGTACAATTAGCAATTGCACAATCAGATTCAATATGGCCCATGCATCCACAAACATAACACAATTCTGGAAGGCATTCATATTTGATTCGAAACCTCTTATTTTCCATAGCCGAGATCTAAGAAGTTTTAAATTTGAGAATTGGTTAACTCACTTCTAAATCAACTCTTACTTTAATAGCCTTATGAAAACTTGCATCTACTTTTGGAACCTTACCCTAGGAATTCCCAATCAAGAGTCCAACTTATTCAAATTGAATACCAACTAGAACATAAAAAATTTGGACTCAAAAAGCATTCATAGAAAAGTTATATTGCTCTATCATTAAAGAGGCTTGAAAACGTTTGAGAATTAGTAATGAATTTCTAAAATTCCAAGGTCCACGATTTAATGTTTTGTTGAGATCACCAATATCAAAAAATTGGAAGAGATAGATCTTGTCCTCGATTTTAGAAATAGTGAAAGCTTTCCTAGGATTCCATGAGACCATTAAAGCATTTTGGAGACCATTCAACTTAATCCTTTTTCGGAAGAAAATCTTTCTCGCCAACCATAGCTTTTCCACCTTGGAATCATCTGGTTTCCAAACCGAGAGCAAGGGAAGAATGCCATCTTCATCCTCTGCAAGGCGAACCCAACTGAGCAATGTTCCAATTTCATCATCTGCCATCTCCAAATCGAAAATGAGCTACCAAACCACACCACTCTATCTAGTCATTGCCCACCTAAAACCATCCATAGCCTTTTTAACAATTCATTCCACAAATCTAAAACCAAATTTGAAAAAATGGAGCCAAAATGAAAGGAAAAAACACAAAGATGAACAAGAAGGGCAAAAAAGAGGAGTAGAAATAGGTAACAAAGAAGAAAGAGGCGCCTAAGCCAAAGAGAAAACCTGAGGGAAAAGTTCGCTGCCTCCAAAAACCTAGGGATTTCAAAGCACAGGGAAGATCATTGTTTATAAAAAAAATTATATATTTTTTGGTTTTAGTTTTAAAGTATGTTTGGGTGAAGAGAAATGAAAGGGAAGGGAATTTTATGCTTCCATTTTCCTCCTCTCCCTTCCCTTCATTTGAATAAATAAATGTATCAAAACAAAAAATAAAACAAAAGATTTCCTTCAGCTCCTTTTCATTCTAATTATTTTGATAATTAAAAAGAGTAATTTTTTCCTCTCCTATCTCCTCTATTCCTTTTAATCCAAATATACTGTTAGTCATAAAAATTCTAACAAAATTTTTTTGATTAGTGAAATATTGGTTTCACTATATTTGCCCGCCACTACTCCTAATTGCATGAAACAAATTGGATATCTTCCTTGGACACGCAGCTTCTACCTATGATATTTTATGGTGTAAACAACTACTACATTGATGGAACTTATAAAATAATTGTCATAACCCAATTTTAATTGGGGCTAAATGATAAAAGTAAAAGTCAGTGGACTATTTTTATAAAAGCATGAAACTTAAAGGGCTGAGGGGAAGAGATTGCAAAACTACATTGTTTTGCTTGAAGGCTGAAAAAATAAAAAGGGGGACTAGGGTTCAAATGAACCCTAGCCCCTCACTTTCACGTTTCTTCTTCTTGCCCTGAGCCATTCTCCCAAAATTCCCAATTTCTTTTGATTTATCTACAAATCCACTGGAAGTTTAGATAGATCACAACAACACAAGAAGAGATTTTCGGATTTGAAGCCCTTATCAAGAGTCGCAAAAGAAGTTTTCGAAGTCGATTCAAATTGGGAGTCTTGATATTTTAAATGTATGAATCTAGCCTTAAAAAAGGGAAGATGTGTAAAGAGCTAGATTAGTTTTAGAATTTCAAATTCTAATAGGGCTATATTATTATCTATAATTTTAGGGATTGGGATAAGAATTTAGAATTAGAAAAGGTTTGAATTCTCTCTGTTTCTGTATAAAAGGGGGAAGCCTTCGGCTTCAAGGGGGAGCAGAGTCGAGGAAGAGAGATCCAAGAGCAGAGAAAGAGAAAGGGGAAACGCAGAAACTTGTATTTGGACTTCAAGAGAATAAAGTCTTGATTTTTCCTTTTCTTCAGGTGTGCATTGTTCATAATTTTTTTTTTCTTTCTGCGTTTTCTGTTGTTCATATTTTGTTCTTTCTTCCTTTCTTTTGTGAATTGCTTGATTGCCCTTTTAATTGTTTCTTTCTTGGTTTATCTGTAATTGATCTTGAAGCTTGCCACAAACATGATTTCACTTGTTTTTCCCCATTAGTTTGGTTTCCTGCCATCCAAAATAACTATCTGCAGATTTTTAGTTTGTTTTATGCATGAAGTTTGGGATATGTTATTATGCAATAATAGGAAAAGGGATTGGGAAAAGAAACTCTCTTAGGAAATATGAGGTGGGGTTTAGGCATTAGAAGAAAAAAATAGAAACGAAAATAAAGTCAAGAAGAAGAAGGAGTGCAAAAAAAAAAAAAGAAAAAGAAAAAGAAAAAGAAAAGAAAGAACAAAAAAAAAAAGAAAAAAAGGAAGCAGAAGCGAAAAAAAAGAAAGAAGCAGAAACGAGAAAAAAAAAAGAGAAACAAAAAAAAAAGGGAAAACAAGAAAAAAAAAAAAAAAGGAAACCGAAACGGAAAAGAAAAGAATGATGAAAGGTTTTTGTTTTTCTGAAAGCGATTTTTGTGTTGTTTACTATTATTATCATTATTTTTTTTTGGGTAATTATTATTGTGATATAAAATTGAAAAGTCCCTAAAATTAAAGTATGTGATAACCATATTTATATGGAAGTTTGTGGGGGTGCCTAACACTTTCCCCACGCTAAATTGACCTTCCGAACCTAGTTAATTTCTATGAAGACCTTGATGATCTATCCCACTTTATTTAGATAGATGATGACTCTGTTCATTTTGACACATCAACAATAATTATGTGAATCATTTTAGAGATTAGATATAGGTGAAAATTAGGACAATCTAACCATTAGAATTGTAATACCCCGAAATTTCTAGAATATTAAAGTTGAGTTGGGGACTTATTTGAGGAAAAATATTATTGAGGGGCTTAATAGCAAGATTCTCAAAAGTTTAGGGACTAAAAAGAAAGAAAATTAGGATAAGGATCAATTGCTTTTCTTTTTCTATCTTTCTTTCTTTCTTTCTTTCCTTCCCCATGAGACCCGCGTGCCCTGCTCTTCCTCTCCCCGACCCTCTGCAACCCGACGAGCCCCCAGCCACCGCCACCCATTTCCGGCCGGGAACACCGGTAAAGCTTGGGGATTTCTCCCCATTTTCTTGTTCTAGAACACTTATTAAACCCATAATTTCCAGATCTACGTTGCTCTGTGTCTTCCTCCTCTGCTGTCCGCGAGTTTCTGCTGTGTGAGGTGCGAATTTTGGGCTTTTTCTGGTAAGCTACAGCCATGAATTCCTCTTTTCACCCTTAAATTGGCTTGGGTTCACTTTAATTTCCTTTGTTTCCTTCTATTGTCGGTGGTTCTCCTCCAAAAACCCGTCGGCTTCCTTCCCAGCCGGAACCGGCCTTTGCTTGCCGGAAATTCTGGTAAGTTGCCGGCTCTTCCAAATTTGAATTACCCACTTAATTGCTGCTTGTTGAGTTTTAATTGGTTGAATTGATACCCTTGGTTGTCCGAAAATTCTGTGGAAATAGGAAGAAATTTGGCAGTCATTTAAGTATGTAATTTTAGCTTTAATTCACGTAGAAATGGCTTGATTTTCTGTTGTGAATTTTCTGGAGAGAAAATCCCGTGTGTGTGAGTTGTGGGTTGCCTAGGGCCATGCTCTCCATGTGCTGCCCGTGAGATTGGGGAAATTTTGGTAGCTTTAAGCTATGTTTTTAAGTGTGGTTTAAGTGTAAATTAACTTGAGGTGGGTTGTTGTGATTTTGGAGAAAAATCCCGTGAGATTAGTTATTGTTTTGCCAATTTTGGAAGTTGAAGTTACTGTTTACGGTACTGTTCACGGTACTGTTCACAAGCACTGTTCACATACCGAGGGTCAACAATTAATGGGAATTTTAAATGTTTAATTTGTAATATAAGAACAAATTTGGCGATGTCCGGTCATGTGGAGATTGATAGAAGTAGCACCATGATTAGGGGTAGTGCTAAAGATGATTTCACTTTGAATTTGTGGTAGTGCGGTATTAACTCTTGGGTATTTTGATTAGGTTCCTGATCTTTCTGTTAGTTTAGCATTGAGATCGAGTCTTCGGTTTTATGCGAGTGAGATAAGTAAATTATGGTAAAGCTCTTCGATTTCAAAGCATGTTTTAAATTGTTTTTGAGATGGTGGCAAGGTTTAAATTGATTTTATCAGCATTTAAGTGTGATTAAACTGAAATGAAAATTGTGATGATTTTATGAGAATTTCATTGTTTTTCTGGAATTGAGCATGATTGTAATGAAAATGAGGATTTCATTGTTTTTTCTGGAATTGAGCATGATTGGAATGAAAGTGGGAATTTCATTGTTTTTCTGGAATTGAGCATGATTGGAATGAAAATGGGAATTTCATTGTTTTTCTGGAATTGAGCATGATTGGAATGAAAAAGAGAATTTCATTGTTTTTCTGGAGTAGAGCATGTCTATTTGGAATTTGATTGAACTGCTGTGATGATTTGAGAATTTTTTGGAAATTATGATTTTCTGTTAAATCCATGCTCACATGGAAATTTTCTAGTTATTTATGAAATTTGAGATTGATTGTGAATTTCAGGTTTTTCTATAAATCTTGCATGGTTTTGTCTCGAATATAGTCATGATTACTGACGCATGCTAATGGGAGTTGCAAATGCTAGCACATGTCGACATGTATTTCTGTAGAACCGGTTCATCCTGCCAATGGGATAATACATTGGTAATTACTGACGCCTATCAGTGGGAGTTTATTAAACACTGGTACTACTGACGCCTGCCAATGGGCGAATACATTGGTAATTACTGACGCCTGTCAGTGGGAGTTTGTAAACACTGGTACCATTATTAACGCCTGCCAGTGGGAGTTTGTTAAACACTGGTACTTCTATAACCTTGCCAATGGGGTTAAACATTGGTAACTACTGTGCCCGCCAGTGGGAGGTTTATAAACGCTGGCCATGACTTATAGATGAGACTACTATTGAATTTGATTCTAATTCTGCATTAACAGTTGTCATTAAACGTTTTGATATGTTAAATTGCTTATCAGGCATGCTAAAATTTTTACTCACGGGCTATCCATATTTACTTATTGAGTTATCGCATAGTTTTCCTTGTCCACCATTTCAGGAAGCGAAATTGAGGATGGGAAACCAAGGAGAGTGACGAGTTAGAAGGCTAGCCATTTTGTAAAGTGAATATAGATTTGAGATATAGATCATGATTGTCACGCCTCAGAACCCAAATCAGAGGCGCGACAGACACCGTGCACTCGTGAGACGGGTCTCACAAACGCACAAGGCTCGGAACTTATTCAAATCCCAAACTCTATTCTTGCAAAATCTGTTTTAATACCATAAAATTCAAGATACAATCTATCTTCCAAGAATGAAAATGTATTCCATAAATCTATGTCCAACATGACTTAAACTTAAAATCACAAGGTAAAATCTATCTTACAAAAAACATGATTTATTTCTAAAATTATATCAATCTCGAAATGGCTAGCCTTCTAACTCGTCACTTCCCGTGGTTTCCGTGTCTCGGGTCATACTACCTGAAATGGTGGATAAGGGAAAATCATGAGATAAAATATCTCAATAAGTAAATGTATGGGTAGCCCGTGGGTAAAATTTGAGCATTTCAGATAAACAGTTTAAACATAAACGGAATTCTCAATGATAACCATTATGCAGAATAAAGTTCAGTAGTAGTCAATTAAACTTATAGCATGCCAACAAGTGTAATAAAAAAACGGATACAAGTACGGGAACGAAATAGACGTCTCCTCTATAGGTCATGGCCA